GGCGGGGGGTGGGGGTGCCTCGTCCGGAAGGGTCACCGGGTGCAACTAAGATGTTGGGTTGTTTTTTTTCCTTTTAGATTTCCTGTGTTTATGCGTGTAACCCGAAGCAAGGGTTGTCCTCGCCAGCTCTTCCTTTCAGCGGCTGTAAGAGCACCGAGAAGATGGTGAATGTTCTGAAAGGTGTTCTGATCGAATGGTTAGTAACGGCACTCACTCACTCACTCTTGCTGTGTCCAGGTCTGCTGGTTTCTGTAGAGCTGGAAATATTGTAAGTAACTTAAGACCAACAAAACAAAAGGAATTGTTGTGAGGAGGAGTGATGCTGAACAAGCAGACAAAAGAAAAGTGCAGCCTTTGGAGGAAGAAGGAGAGAGGCAGTTGTAGGTAATCCTAATTCCAAACCCCTTTTTTCTTTTCAAGATATTGTTTTCCACTTACACTTAACCATTAGATGTTCCCTCTTGTTCTTTATATTGCTTAGAAATAATGGGGTTTTTTTGTTGTTTGTGAGCAATGTGTTTCTTCCTGATTCTAGAGGAAGATTAGACAATCTTTCATTCTTCCTTTTCTGTCTTTTTTTCAACTCCAGTCCAAATTTCGTTTAAGGCTGACGTGTGGCTCTGTAGATGATACTTGAAAGGAATATGCTTGTAGTTTGTAAAAGTAAACTTTTGATGTATATGCAGTAAACATGTTTTCATGCAATCTGGAGTCTCTCAACTAAGAATCAGGTAACTGGTTACCTCCAAAGTAAAAAGCATCGGTCAAGGTTTGTGGGGTCACTGCCTAGCATGATATGACATGTAAGATTTCTGCTGTACCCTTAGACTGTAAACATATTTGTTAACATATATATATTTGTTATAACTGCACAAAAGCAGAAGAGTGTGGAATGTCTTGTGATGTGCCTGCATGGTGCATATAGCTGTGAGCTTGTTGCAGCCAACTTCTGAGCTGACTGGACATTAGCCAGCTGAAGTCTGGATATCTAATGGCTGTGTGTCAGCAGTTCAGAGCCTAAGCTCTGCTATAACAAAAAGCCTGTCTTCTCAAGTTTGTTTTCATGCTAGTACCTTGACAAATCTTCTGAAGCCCAAGAAATTACCTGCCTGCAGCTGACTATGTAAAGATCCCCAGAGTAGAATTCTTGACTAACCAGGCAAGAAGTTCTAAAAACTCAAACAGTTAGCAAAATATTTTATTTTGCACCTTACTTGTTTATTTTACATGTACCTAAAGATATGTGTGTTTTTATTCAACTCGTTGGCCACGTCCCACTTAGTATTAGCTTGGAACTTAATATTCTGCTTGGAAGGGAATTTTCTGTTTGATAACAAATCTACAGCATTTGTTCTGCCATCAGATATTTTCAACAGCCCCCTGGGAAACTGACCTTTGAGTTGATTTTGCTAGTTATTGGTGGTTTGGTTTTGTTTGTTTGTTTATTTCCTCCCCACCTTTGCATAAGGGTAGCCCATGATTGGGCACAAAATTTCATCTTAGGAGAAGATGTGGAATTATTATAACCTGTCCCCTTGTTTATACTTCAGGTACAAGTTTTTTACAAATGAGAATGTTTAAGATACCCAATGGACAGGGAATAGGAAAAAAAAAAAGACACTTCTGAGCGTGTAAATCACGCAAATAAAATAGTGAAATGTTGTGCAGTTCTGTTTTTCCATATTCTTCCAATAAATAGCTGAACTTTTCTGAAGATACCATCCTCAAGTACTGTAATGAGATCAGTGTTTGTAGTGTGACATTTACTGGCACTGGTTACAGCTCTGTATGTTGATTTGTGAAAACCAGTCTGTGTGCTGCCGAACATCATGCGGGCTGGTCATACCAGCTAGGACAAAAGCCCGTGCCCATCCGGTGCTGCTCACGTGAGTCACTACGGTCCAGCAGAGTAGAACAAGCAAAAAATAAACCTCCTTGCACCCATCCAGAAGGGGATGTGGAGGAATGCTGGCAACCACATGCTTCTGGTATCTCATTTTTCTCAGCTCTTCTGTTTCTTTTCTTACATGCCAGAGCACATAAATAACGGCTTTTCCAAAGAAAGTACAGCTTCCAGACTTCCCATTCTCCTATCCTCAAAATTACTTTGTACTTTGAAAACTCATTCTAGTCATGCTTCTGCAGGTTTGAGGCTAAAATTAAAGACTGTTCTTCAAGTTGCTGGGTAAGGGGAAGGGTTTGGTTTCATAGTGTGTGTCTTTGCACCAGATACAGTTTTAGGTAAGGGAGAATTAGGCCTCATACAGCATTTAAAAGATTTCCTTGGCTAATCTTCCCTCTTTTATGATTTACTCCATTACTAAGAATTCTTTTTAAGAATTATTGTGTTGCCAAAACAACTATGTTCATAATTTTGAAAGTGTCCTGAGCTACCTGATTCCAGTTTCCTGTATTTCTTGCACATATTCTTCTCCAGTTGTTGCAATCAAATACTAAGTTTTACCAAAGAGCATGTTTTTCCTGTTTTGTAAAAACTATCATCAGAATAATATTGTCTAAATTCTTCAAAATTTCAGTGGAAATATTATATTTTGAAGCCACTTTATCTAACTTCTTGGGTAATGCAGCTGTTTCAGTTACCTGTAATTTCCATACTTACAAAATGTTTTCTTCTAAACACTCAAATTTAACATAAAAAGTGACATAATGAAAAAGAAGAGACCGTTCGGTTACGGTGTGATAAATGTACAATTCATATGGGACCACTTTTTCACTGTGCTGTACTACTTCGAGTGAGATCTGTGTTCTCTTGGGTTTTGGTTACTTTTAAGCAAAAATATGCTTTAAGAAAACATGTTTTTATGGTGCTATTTCTGAAGATAGAAATGTAAGTTCAAATTTGCCTCATTAAGGGTTGGTTGGTTTTGGTGGTGGGGTTTTTTTGGGTTTGTTTTTGTTTCAAGCTACTTTAACAGCAGCATAGGGGCACTTCTCTGGTAACCAAGCAGCCACTTTTCTTTAGCCTTTGGTATCAGTTTATTTTTACTTCTAAAGTAACCCAAGCAATTACTATTGTGAAAGAAACAACTTTTTCAAAAGCTTCATAAACTTTCTTTAAAATGTGAGCAACTCTTGAAATTAATTTTAATCTTCCAAAAAACTTTGGGAGTGTTTTCAAAGGGTATGGTTTTTGTTTGATTTTATTTGTATCTTATTACAGTGAGGTGGGATCTGATGTGTGTTTGTCTCTACAGTGACCCAGCAATGAAGCAGTTTCTGCTCTACTTGGATGAGTCAAATGCATTGGGAAAGAAGTTCATCATACAAGACTTGGATGAAACTCATGTCTTTGTATTAGCCGAGTTGGTTAACTTCCTCCAGGAGAGAGTGGGCGAATTAATGGACCAGAACTCTTTTCCCATTACTCAGAAGTAAAAAGACTAGAGAAGTGACATTACTGCCAGTTTTGGAATAGTGAATTTCAATAGCTTGGGTTGTTACTGTTTTAATAGATACACTGTGGTTAGTTAGTCCTACATGGAAGTGGCTAGTTTAGAAGATGGATCATTTTTGTAAACAAAATACTCTTGAATTGGACTTTATTTCTCATTTTGAAAGATTATGGTATCTTTATTAAAATCCTTAAAATTATATATACACTTCAGGACTTGTCTAGGGAATTTTTGATGCATGCTCTCTGTTTTTCCTTTAGGATTTTTATCTTGCAAGATGGTATGACGCAAAAATTAGAGTAGTGTTTCTGTACTGGAATGCTTTATGAACTCCTCTGACACGTGACATTCCTGTGGAATTTATTAAATCTGGTTATAGTATGATTGATAACATTTGAAGAATGTCTATTAAAGTATGATTTGTGCGTGATGGAACATCTCCTTGAGTTGAAGGTGTGGTCAAATACTGCTTTAACTTAATAGGTTTTATACACCAAAATGACAGTTGGTGCAAGTTTTCTCTTTGTGTGTGTGGGGGTTTTGGTTTGGGGTTTTGTTTTTGGGTTTTTTTTTTTTTGGGGGGGGGGGGGGTCAGTTGTTGGCTGTTGTTGTTTATTTGGGGTTTTTTTTCCCAAACATTTTACAAATGCCCCATACTACTTGCCGACTTTTACCAAGGCTGTGCTTTCTGCGTTGTTCTGGGTGTGAGGAGTGGTGGTAATCTAGGAGTTTGGAGGGGAGCAGGGGATATGAGGAGATGGGGACAACAAAATCTGTTATCCCAGATCATCACATTTGAATTGTAAACTGATTACTTGCATATCAACAGTAGTAAATTAAAGGGATAACATAAATGGAAGACTAATCCTTTAGATATAAGTGCTTGTATTTTTCCACTGAAGCTAATACTGAAAGAGGGTAGGTTTAGATTAGAT